AAAATAATAAATGGGATGATAACAGTTATAGCCCTTTTAAAATTCCTAAGAAATTGCTATAGGATACTTCTTCTTCAGATAAAAGAAATGAAGAGTTTGAATAATCTTTCAACAGACTAAATACAAATAGAGATTTGTAGAAAAATGATCTGAATGATTCGTAATGCATTCTTAGAGAAGAAAGCAGAGAAATTATCAAATAATAATCATCTATGTAGAATTTTGCCAAGAAATAATATGGAATGAGAGACATCATGAAATACTACAAACCCAATTATAAGGTCTTCCTGGCCTTCGTTGCAACATTTTTAAATTCCTTTTCATATCCAATCTAAGGGTATGTCTTCTCTAAAGTATGTTTTGTAATGCTTGGATTCCAATCACCTACTTTCGTTGAAGAGAGGAATACTTGGTGCGGTAGTTTCATGGCTATAACATTTATAATAGGTTTATTTGAGTATTTCAAAGGTTTTTTGCTGGCTTAACTTAGTGAAAATCTAACTTATTAGATAAGAAAAGCACTATTTTCTTCTATGATAAGATAGAATATAGAGTGGTTTGATAAAAAAGAAAGAGCTCCAGGAATCTTGAGTAGCATGTATCAAGAGGATATTTCCTAACTCAAGGGTTTAACTAGCTAAACTTTGGGTTTGATTCTTGAAGCTATTTTATGCCTTTTTATTGGAATTGCATTAGCCTTTATCAGTTCCTGGAAAATGGCTTTGGTAACAATGTCTATTTCTCCGTTGCTAATACTTGGAGGTGTGGCTGAGTAAATGGTATACTGGAACTCATTCAAAAATACAGCTAAATAAGTCTAGGAAAACGAAGAGTCAATAAATCCTAACGATAGAGCAAATGCATTACTCTCTGATATAATCATCAATTATAAGACAGTAATAAGTCTTGGTCAAAAGAATATAGAATTTTTAGTAGATAAATATAGGGATTTACTTCAAGGACCTAGAAAAATTGGCATAAGACGAGCTCATTTTAGTGGTGTTATCTATGGATATTCTTAATGCATAAGAATGCTATTTATTGGCTTCATCTTTTTCATTGGCTCATTTTTTATTTTTCAGCAAAATGAGTCCCAGGAGGATTGCTTTGTTGCCCTCTACACATTATTTATGTCAGCATTATAAACAGGCTCTTTATTCACTTAAGTTCCTTCAGTTTCCAAATCAAAGTAAGCTGCAAATAAAATTCTCTCTATCATAGATAGCAGGAAGGATGGCTAGAAAATTAACTAAAACAAAGTGGCAAACTATGAACTCATTGATACTATTAAAAATGGAGAAATACAATTCTAAAACATTAACTTTAAATACCCC